TTTGCCAGAGGCTAAGGCTCCTGATGGTTTGCCAGAGGCTAATGTTCCTGAGGGTTTGCCAGAGGCTAATGTTCTTGAGGGTTTGCAAGAGCCTAGTATTCCTGAGGTTTTACCAGAGGCTAATATTCCTGAGGTTTTGCAAGAGCCTGATGTTCCTCAACCTCCAACTGGACATACACCTGAGGCCAAAGTTCAGGGGGAAAAAACGAAAATGCATCGATGAAGAAGTCACTACCAAGAGGATTCACCTTGCATCGGATAAAGAGGTTGAGAAAGGGGATTCCCCGACCATCATACCGATGAATCAAGCGTCGTCTGTAGCACCTTCGAGCTCAGGGCAGGGCCATCTAGCTGATAATGCTGCCGAATCACTGGTAATTTTTTCGTTTTTAATGCACAAAATACCATATTGATAATTAAAATTGAATAGATTCAACTTTTTTTTCAATTTTTTTTTAGCTTGAAGATGATGCATGGATGAGTAGACGTTACCAGAAGGAGACACTTATTTTCAACGATAAACCTATCAGGGAAAAGCAGGAGTGGCTTTTGAAGTTGTTAAATTTTGATTATGAGGATCTAAAAGATTCAGCAATTACAGTCAAAGATGTACAATGCCTTACGCCATAAACTCTGAGTGATGCTCTCGTCGACAGTAAATTAACAAATATCACTCTTATTAAAGAATTCTTTGAGGAGGAAGCCTTCCAATTAATAATGAAAAAACTAAAAGAGAAGAAAGGCAAAAAACTATTCACTTGCGTCATTTGTAAGCAACCAGAGAAAGCAGCACAAGGGAACGTGCTTATCTGCACTGCCTGTCTCCTTCACCACAACTACTGCTGCCTCGGTATCATCCGGAAACCAAGAGAGCCTAGATGAGTTTGTAACAAGTGTACAAACATGTGATTATTTTTGCCGTTCTTGGTCGTTCAACATTTGAGTAAACGGAGAGGGAGTTTTATTTGGTAGAAATCAAGACAGTCAAGAGAGAGCTTATCTATTACTTGTATTATGGAGACGTCTTCATAAGTTTGGGAACTGGAGATTTTCAAGTCGAACCTGCACTTGGCTTCCACAAGAGGAAATTCTATAAATTTTCTCATTCATTAATTGAGTATATTTCTTATGCTCCATCGTTTTTTTTCCCTATGAATCTGAAGATAATAGAGTACGATAAAAAGGCATTCAGTTGGGCTTATAGTTGTAAACTAGTGATTGAAGGTTTCTTGACACCCAACGAAGTCAACTAATATCTGAAGGCGTCTGTTTTTGTCTCGGAAATCTTTAATAATTTTCTTTCCAAAGCAAACTTTCAGTTGAACTGCTGGAAATTAATCGGTTTTCACTTAAATACTATTCATAAGTTTATATAATTTATATGCTACTAATTTAATCTCCATGTGTTTATTTCATAAATCATATAAATAAATATAAAATTGTTCAAACTATTGTTTTTTTTTTTTATTTAGAGGAAAAGATAGCCCTAATGTCCATTTAACTTCTCCTATATTATCCTTCAACAATTTTTACAAATTTTTCTTAATTTAATCAGATTTTTATTGATTAATTCAATCTTTTTTTTTTCTAGAATCTAAAAAAAATTTCTTGAATTCATCTGATTGATGAAATCGAATGGATTCTTTGTCTTTCTTATAAACGTGTTCATGTAAAAGATATATGTGATATATTTAATATCGCATAGATCGAATTTGCGATATAAATAGAAACGAAATTCCACTGCGTCATGTTGTCTCACTTGCATCGATTTATTTACACACCAAGATTCCTCATTTAAATAAAAAAAATTAATTTTGTTTTTTTCATTTAATGCGTCGAATGAGTTCCTTTGAATGTGCGTAAAACACACCCAAGAGTTATCCTAAACGGGCGTGAAACATGGCTAAAGGAGAGTCTACAATAGATGGGCGTTATTAGTTCGGGGCGTACAAGTTATTGGGTTTGATAACTATGTCTGGCTTAGCAACGCGGCAAAAAATAGGAACGCGCGTTGCTAAGGCAGGGGAGGATGGGGCAAAATGGGCCAAGGGGGTCAATACGGACTGTGCGGTAAAATGAACCGCGAGAACAAAATGGACCACTGATTTTTTTTTTTCCATTTAAAAAATTTTTTTTTCAATGGTGAACTATCATACGTAAAATATCAAGAGTCAAGCGTCAAGGTTTTACCCATGACTAGGGTGAAGATGTGCGCTACAGCGCGCGTTCATAATCGTTAATTGATTTTTAGTACAGAGCATCAAATTTAACCTCAGGAACCATCAATCATTAGTGCCGGATTTAATTTTTTCAGTGTTTCTTTGATAATTTAAATTTTTTTACAAAAATGGGAATGGCAATCCTTTTCATCGAAAAAAAAATCACTCAAACTTGAATATCTCGGGAACTATTAATCCCATGGCAATGAACAAGGGTTCAGATTAAAGCTGCACTCATTCCTCCTCAATTTGACAGCTCATAAATCCATTTTCTTTTTGCCAAAAATAGGTTTTTGACAAAAACACCAATAACTGTACTAATTCCCAGTGAAAATAATTCCATGAGTAGTGCAATGGATGGGAAATGAAGCCACCTTTCACTTGCAACTTCATCTGTTGCAATCGGACGAATAGTTCTAGAGATATTGCCGAAAAAGTGATCCTTAGATTCATTTCGACCTAAATCAAGTCGCCTGTTCCGACGTCGATTTTTCAAAAGTGGATTTGCCATTATTGTTTGAGTTTTGTTATCAACCAATGATTGATTATTCATTCGCGGGCCCCAAGATATCAAATCGATCAATAGGAGCGATAGAAGTACAAAAATAAAAAATGTCAATTTCGATTTATCGATTACCCATAATATTTCACCCTTGACATTTTACCCATGAAGGTTCAGCATTAAAAAAAAAATTGAAAAAGAAAAAGAAAAAAAAATAGTGGTCCATTTTGCCCCGCAGTCCATTTTGTCTCACCCTCCTCTAATTTCAATATATTTGTATTCATTTCGCATTATTCGTTTGCATTGCAATAAATACTCTCCTTTATTCTCAGCATGCTTGAAAACACGCGAAAGCGTATTTCTTCAGTGTGCGTGAAACACGCCAGGAAATGTTTTAGTGGGCGTGAAACACGCCAGAGAGGATATTAGTGTAGAAAAACGGCCCCTCATGGGTGAAATATCAAGGGTGACTTGATATTTTACCCTTGACCCTTTATCCTTGACACTTCACCCTTGATATTTACATTTATTACGCATCATTCGTTTGCATCGCGTTGCAATAAATACTCTCCTTTATTCTCAACATGCGTGAAACACGTGAAACAGCATTTCTTCAGTGTGCGTGAAACACGCCAGAGAGAATTTTAGTGGGCGTGAAACACTCCAGAGAGTACATTTCGACATTTCTCATCACGATGTGCGAAAAAGTAACTTTGTAGGCACGCTTCCATACATTGTGATGAAAAATATCGATACTCGTGGTATTAGATCACTCCCCTTCAGCTCGTGCTATAAACCTCCTACGAGCAAAAAAAACACTTTTCTGCAATTGTATCGAAATATGCTATATCTGGAGACTGTGAGTTTCGCAATACAGAAGGCAGAAAAGTTGTTTTTAGCCATATGTCAAAAGAGTATTTCACTCGGCGTGAAACACGCCAAAGAATATTTTTGACTCGGCGTGCAACACGCCAAAGAATATTTTTGACTCGGCGTGCAACACGCCAAAGAATATTTTTGTTTCGGCGTGCAACACGTCAAAGAATATTTTTGATTCGGCGTGCAACACGCCAAAGAATATTTTTGACTCGGCGTGCAATACGCCAAAGAATATTTTTGACTCGGCGTGCAACACGCCAAAGATTATTTTTGACTCAGCGTGCAACACGCCAAAGAATATTTTTAACTCGTCGTGTAACACGCCAAAGAAGATTTGACTCTGCGTGCAACACGCCAACGAATATTTTTGACTCGGCGTGCAACACGCCAAAGAATATTTTTGACTCGGCGTGCAACACGCCAAAGAATATTTTTGACTCGGCGTGTAACACGCCAAAGAAGATTTGACTCTGCGTGCAACACGCCAACGAATATTTTTCACTCGGCGTGGAACACCGCAGAGAGTTTTAGTCGGCGTGAAATACGCCAGGGAGTATTTTAGTCGGCGTGGAACATGCTAAAGAGTATTTTAGTCGGCGTGGAACACGATAGTTTTCCTCACCGTGCGTGAAACACGTCAGAGAGTTTTCCTCACCGGGCGTGAAACACGCCAGAGAATAAAATTCATAAACGCACCGGGCGTGAAACACGCCGGCGTGTTTTACGCCGGCGTGTCACACGCCCGGTGCGAATAGCCACAGCCTAAAAAATTTGTGTAAAAAGATGAAATCCTACTGAATTTTCATATAAAGTAGTTTCTATTGGGAATTTTCGACATAAAAAACGCACAGCAAAGCTGCCGAAATTGTTAATAGACTGGGCAACTAATAATCAAATTTTCTCTCGAATTTGCTAGGTTTTTTGATGAATTTTTTTCCGCCGCATATTCAACATTTTCTAACATTTTTTGCTACTCTTAAATATGTTGTTTTCATCTCCTATTGTTTAACACTATTCAAAATAGGGAGATGATATTTAGAATGATGGAAATTTTGCCACAGTGCTAAAACCAAACGTCATGATTTTTTTCAAGAAAATATTTACGTATATAATGATTTTTAGAGAAAACGTTGGAGAATTTGTTTTCTATGTAGAAAATTTTTGACACAAGAGGTATTAAATAAAAAAATAAAGAATACGAATAAGAAAATCACATCACTTGATGAAATATTGAGATTAAAAACTGAAAAAAACAGGAATTATGTCCTTCTACAACTGATAATTGATCTTGAATTTCACCATTTCACTCCTAAATTGATTATGTGAATGATAAAATTACGTAAAATTATGAATCTACAAAAGGATGAAATATATTTAATAATGAATGAGAGGAAACTTACGTCCATTAACTCCAAATTCAATGGACTGCACAGTTTTTCGGCACATGGTGTACTTGGTACCTCCAGGTCCGAGGTTATCACAGCTTCTTAATAATTCCTCAGGAGGAATTGGCTTCGCACATCGGGTGTCCTCATGGCTGTTGCAAACGTAGCACTGCAGTCCATTCACTCCTGAAACAATATACAGGATAACGAATGAGTGCGTAAATTCCCTGAATGAAAAAAAAGTACAATTTAATTTTTTTAATACGGATATTTCATTCATTACTATGAATTCCTCAGGCTCCATTGCACCTACATTCTTCCGTCTAGCTATTCTATTTGCCCCTAGGAATACAGAAAATGAGAGCATTGAAGAACACTGAACTTTATACTAGTTCTCCATTCGTTAATACTGTTGAATTACCTAATTTATGTCTATAAAATCTAGAACTATTTGAACAAGATATTGTTGTCTCTCTATCAACAGTCCCGTAGGACACATCATCATCATGTAAAAAACGAGATAACCATGGATAGGAAATACAAGGATAAATTCAATGAAATTTACCAGAAAAAAACGTAAAAATTACGTGCCGAAACGTAATCCGCGAGCGAAGTAAAATTCAATGATAAGTGTGAGTCGGAACTGAAATTGTACGAATCACCACATAATTCTCCGATTTGTTCCGTAAAAATTAACCACCCGTCTGATGACTCACCGCTGTGCACACGGAGAGAAAAATACACCATAATTCCGTGAAAGTCCCTTCAAAAATTAGTGTGCTACTCACTAATGCTGGGACATAACAGGGGGTCATCAGAAAATTCGTATGTGGCACCCTAAGTTTTACGGGCATCGCGCGAAGTAGTGGCGCAAGTCCCTCTAAAAATTGGGGTGCCACATTCGAATTTTTCGATGACCCCCTGTTATGTCCCAGCATTGATGAGTAGCACACTAATTTTTGAAACATTTTTTTCTCAGTGTGGGGACAACAAGTCGTTCCGTAATTTTTTCACAACAATTGAGAAATTTTACGAAACGGAACGTAGAAAGAATTCACCAGCTTCATAAAAATTGTTGAACGTTCAAGAATTTTTCATTTTGGAGGCATAATAAGTCGGGAAGTTTCTGTAAGATTTTACTTTTTCGGGAAAAATTACGTGACAATTTCGTACTTTGTTCGGTGATGAACCTGAAAATTCACAGAAAGTTTCAGATTTCTTCTTGTCCATTCCTATAAAAATTGCCGGAAAACGATTCCCCGTTACGGATTACGTGAATTATTCCATAATTTTTACTGAATATTTTTCTCCATATATAAACCCGTACCTGTTGTTCAATACAAAGGCCCGGTTGCACGAAGCCCAGTTAATAAATTCCTGTTATGTATCGGAATAAAGAAAAATAATCTGCCGATCAATTTCGATCGAAAGTTCATCGAAGGTATTTCACCAAAAAACGTGGTGTATCGCTGTATCATGACTATTTGCCAATAATACCATTACGTATGAAGTGTTTACTCGATATTCAATACCAACTGGCTGAAGGAAAGCACACTAACGATGAATGCCTAAAGTTTTCGAACAGTGGCATAAATTAACTCCAGACACAAATTTATTCTAATGATTTATTTGACTAACAGGACTTGGTGCAACCGGCCCAAAAGGATAATATATTGGTTGTTTAGGAATGGTTCCATGCTTGAGGCATAAATTTGTAGGAATTGAGTCCAACGAACTTCAACCTAGTGACAATCTCCGGGGTTTGTTCTGCTGTTCTGAAAATCAATGTAGCTAGTACCTACAAAGATGGCCTAGAAAAGATACCCGTCGACGCCAACTAGTCGGCTTCTATATTCAAACTATGTAATGAGGGACAAATTTTTAAGATTTATTAATAATTTGTAATGGGGAATTTCGTTGAATAATTGAAAATCCAATTGAATTGGATGAAAAAACTTATTGGAGAATTGTAATTCCCAGTAATAATTATATATTCATAACTAATGAATAATTATCCATTACTTAATAAGTACATAATATTAAGCAATGAACGGTATACAACTGAGTTTGTTATTTTTTTAAAATATTTATATTCAAGATAACAATCCAGAGAAAGAGCTCCATTATAACTTGAATCTTCGTTACGGCCAAAATTCTTTGCAAATTATGTGTATCCATGGATTTTTTTTCCCCGAAGAATCGGAAGAATAGGAATCATTGTTCACATGGAGTAAATTAATCTTAAAGTTCTGAGAGAAAAGCAATTCAAAATAATTTTGACGATCATTTGGAAAATAGTTAAGAAGTAAGGGATATGAGAATACAGAAGAAATTAGAAGTCATCCAGGATCTCTACAATATCCCACAGACTTCATCGTCAATCTAATTTTAAATCATCCCCTCCCTCTTAAAAAAAAACATGAATGGTGATAAAAATAACTCTTCCCCCTTTTCCCATCTTTATTTATCATTTTCCCCGAAAATAGCTCATTTTCATTATCGTACATCCACCACATCTACCTACATGAAAACCAAGCCAACATCTGTGCCGTATGCACGCATTATTAATTAACAAACCCCCAACAAAAATCTCAGTGAATTTCTCCTAATGAAACCCAATGCAATTTCTCTCTCGCTCTCATTCATCACTCCCCCATGGATTCTCCCGTTTCCCTTATTTTGTGGGGGTAGACGCGCGCACATTACGTTGTCATCGATCCAGACTTGCGCAGGGGTAGTCCGAGGGTGTGGAGACAAAGGAAAATCCTAATAATTCAAAATTCAGTCCGAGTTTCTGCGGCAAAGATAATTCTGAAAAATCCGAGAATCACTCAAAAGTTATTTTAAGCGCCGAAAATGCTTTCCATGAGATTGTTACTAGGACTTGAAGGCTTCTTAGTGTCAGGAAAACCGAAATAAATGACAGAGAATTTTTCAAAAAAATGAAGTTCATTTTTTTTCTGTTAAATTGGAATAAAATAGTGAAAAATCATTTAACAAATTCTAAATATTCACGTAATAATTGATAAAGATTTTAATCATCATTTGAACTTACCGGAATGACCCAGAAACACACAGGCAGTGCATATTGCAATGACAATATGGGCCTTCATCCTTCTCAAAATATTCACACGAAGCTGATTTCTGTTAAAAAATAAACGCAGAAAAGAATTGATTAATCCTCACTGAAATGTTCGATCCAACAATTGATGAACGATATTGCGATTGATTTCAATTGATGAATCGTGATAAACTTTGATTACTGTGCGGGAGAGAGGAGGCGACCTACCGACCGAGCGACCCCAAGGCTTCGAGAGCTCGGATTGCACTGTTGATGCCAGTCGTAACTAGTTGGCACGGCGCTCCCACCACCCTTGCGGGTTCAAATATAGAATTTGTGTAAGCACTAAGCTTGGGAGAGTGAGCATGTGTGAAGGGGGATCCTCGGGAATCGACGCAGAGGACGGGAGATTTTTTTCTGAGTGGGGAGTGTTAGTGGGGTTTTGTGGTTTTCCCGAGGGGTCGATGATATTCGGAAATTGATTTTTGTGGTGAAGGGAGAATTTTCAGGCATCGATTATGTTGATTAGATAGAGAAGCAATTAATTATGTAATTATTACAAAATCAAATAATCCGCACATTATACGAGCAAATGGTAAAGTAACGAATTATTTTGGAAATCTTACATGGCCCATTTGTAAATGAATGAGTCGTACGTAACTATTTGGATCTAAGTAACATTTCGTGGTATTATTACTTCAAAAAAATTTTCCTTATTGCAAATTAATGATAGCACTTGATAGAACTCGATTGAATGATGGCTTAAAATTTTTTTTTTGAATATCCTTTTCACCAAGTTCTAAGATGAAGGGGATCGCAATAATTGTTATTTTGATTTATTTAAAAATTTGCAAAAATTTTGTATGCTTTGGAAATCAGAATTCCGGGGATATTTTTGAATTTCATGCTTCAAATGAATTTAATCATAACTTAAAATGCTTGCTTTAATGCCATTCAGTTGAAGTTAAAAGACGATTATGATAGCTAATTGGTTGATTTGATTTTTATGATGATTGTTGAAAATTTCGAATTTTTCATGAATTTCCCTGAAAATGATTACTTTCTGTATCATCCATTCATTTCATTCAAGTATCTATAAATAAAAATTTTCTATTAACAATGAATTGTAGATGTTAGAAGTAAATGATGCGCAAAGTAACCATTCGGAAGCATATTGTAAATATATTAGTAAAAATAACTATACTATATGCAATGCAAGAGCAATTTCCCACTTATTTTAAATGTGTTTATGTCGCGCCGTGCAATAAGTCGAGTTTATCGCACGCTGCGCTTCGCGCAGCTTGCTCAAAACTCGACTTCTGCACGACTTGACATAAAATATTATAGAGCACGCGGTAATAAATTTCGTTTTCAACGAATGTGTGTATAGACCTCGCCTTCGGCTCGGCCTGTAAACTACACATTCGTTGAAAACGAAATTTGTGTCCTTGTACTCTAATGTACTATTATTTTAACACAATAATTGTTGTGATGAACAGAAAATTTTGATTCCCCACTCTTGCCAATTAAATAAAAAAAATAATAGGATAATTAATATAAAAAATGAAATGAGCAATAAATAAAATGACAAAATAATAACAATTAAATAATACCTAATCATTATTTGCTAATTTCAATTCTTCAAACATTTTCCCATAAAAAAATTATAGAACTCAAATACAACGTATGTACAAAATGGAAATGTAAAAATTGTAAACGGCGTACAAGCCATATAGTTGGAAATGAATTCAATCTTGAATGTACTAGAACTTGGTTTAAAAAATCGTTGATCATCAATTCGCTGGCAGAAAATGTTTCAATTCTGGCAAAGAATTTCTCAATTCTTTTAAATCTCATGAAATCGTATTTTCTACAGTCAGTTGAAATAATTATATCAATCTTTTATTATGTTACTCCACTTGGCAATGAACACCAGCTCCAACAATTTCCAAAGATGATTCGAAAGGTGAGGCATGACACCATAGGACCGTAAATTTTATAGAATAAATGCGTAAAGTGGTCGCGGGCTCCACACAGAGAGCCTTGTGAAGTGGATAATGTCTCTTTTCCTGTGACACGGAACACGTCTCGTGCCCCACACATTTACGAATCCACCGAGCTTTTAATATCATGTGGTGGATGGTCTTGAGACGGTGATGCGAGAGTACCATCGTTTCTCCTGACTTTTGACGAATAAAAGTTTTATTTTCATAAAAACAAAAACATCTATTTAGTTTATTCAATTGAGTTGATTGGGTTGTAGAGGCTCTTATGGTTTTTGTACCACCCAGGAAGACTCGCACAATAATGCACTAATCATTATTTCGTGCCAATGCCGACTCTACGCACGCGAAATAGACCGGATCTGTTGGCTGCCCCGAGGGTACGTACGTAATCAATTCAGCATCATTCATTCATTGATGTAATCCGTAGGTGAGGGATTAAATTTCATTTTATTTTAACTTGACATTATTTTCTTAAATTACTTGAAACGAAAAGAACAATTTATTTTAGTATGAAATCAAATACCAATCAGTTTTTGAAATTCTGATGTTTTTTGCTTCCGACAGAAAGCTTTAATCGTTCAAATTTTAGTTAAAAATTTTCTGTTTTAGGATGACTAAATATGGTCTAAAACATCCGAATATGCGAATTTTAAATGGTGTCTCTATGCATGTATGTTTGTATTAGGTGTGTGACTTAATTTTTACAGATTTTTCAGTAAATTTATTTAATATAAAAAAATAGAGAACAACGAACTTAATCTTGGAAATATTGTCCATCGTTTTCTATGACCTTGCGCCATCTCTCAGGTAACATTCGAATGCGGTCGTGAAAGAAACTTGCAGGCTTCGAGGCGATAAAGCCATCGACGAATTTACGCACATCGTCCAGCGTTTTAAACGATTCATCCACTAAGGCGTGCTGCATGGACCGGAACAAGTGATAGTTGGATGGGGCCAAGTCTGGTGAATATGCTGCGTGCGGGAGAACTTCCCATCCCAAATTTAAGAGGGTCTTCTGAGTTGCGCCAGCAACGTGAGGTCGAGCATTGTCATGCAGCAGTATGACTTGCCTGCTTCCTTGCCCAGTAAATGGCCTTTTCCGATCAAGTTCTTCGTTCAGTTTGTTCAGTTGTCGGCTGTAGCGTTCCGCAGTCACCGTTTGACCTATTTCCAGGAGTTCGTAATAAAGCACACCCTTCATGTCCTACCAGATACACAGGAGAATCTTCTTCAAGTGGATGTTCTGTTTCGGCGTCGATGTACTGGATTGTCCGGGATCTACCCACGACTTTTTACGTTTGGGATTCTCGTAAAAAATATACTTTTCATTACCCGTCACAATTCTCCACAAGAAGTCCTTTTTTTGTTGCCGGGCAAGCAGTGAAAGGCACGTGTTCATACGTTGACCTAGGTTGTGTTCGGTCAACATATGTGGGACCCACCTTCCAAGTTTTTGGATTTTTCCCATTTGACGCAAACGCTTAGAAATAGCTGTTCGGGTGACTCCTAACTGAGCTGCAAGCTCTTGTTGCCTTTGCGTTGAGTCTTCATCCAGTAGAACTTGCAATTCCGCATCTGTAAACTTTCGAGGCTGTCCAGGACGCGGCTGGTCACTCAGATCGAAATCACCACTTCTAAAACGTTTGTACAACGTCGGCACCAAAAACACTACACATTGATTCTTGTGCTTCAGAAGCATTTTTTCCTTGTTGGAATTCGTATAAAATGCAGTGCTGAATGTGCGGTTTATCAGTTGCCATCGTAAACTCTGCTATTTTGAAAGGTTATGTAACTTACATAGACTTGTCGTTCCGTGTTCTGAAACCTTTTGTCCGATCCTTTCAAAACCAGAAAAGACCGCGGATATATTTCTATCTTAAATATAATTTTAAGTACGAAGAAGAAATCTGTAAAAATTAAATCACACGCTTAATATATATACTGTAAAATACGAGATATTTGATGAGAATAAATGTTTATTAAAAGAATTTTGGGGCGAAATAAATAATAAAAAAGAATACAAGAAGGATTGATGGGTCCGCGGACTAAGAAACAAGATAAAAGAATAATGGGAAAGAAAGAGACTATCGTACATGAAGATTGTTGAGAGGGAGGAAAAGGGAAAATACGTAACAATATATATATGTATGTACGCGGAGAGAAATTTTTTTGAAAAATTCTAGTGCTAGCACGGGAAAAGAGGCGCAAAGAGATGGCCAGGAAAAAATTCTAGTGCCGGCGCTAGAAATTTTATTGGGGGAAACGTGAATTTTTCCTCGTATTTCTGGGCCAATTTCCCAGAAATCCTCAGAAATTTTACCAGAAATACCAATAAATTTTATCTTAACAATACTAAAATTCTTCACAGCCGGTGGATTGTAATTTTTTCCAGTACTCGTACTAGAATTTTTATAGAAAATTTCTCTCCGTGTATGTTTGTATGTATGTATCGGCCGTTTAAAATGTTTTTTTAAAATTCCCTTATAAGGGATTTATTGAATTTCATGAATTTTATCATGAATATCGATGTTAATAAGCTCTATCCATTGACACGAATTGAAATTTTATTTTTCACAGATTCGAAAAAATTGATATTTTTACAAAAATTGATTTTTCAAAGGTGACTCAAAACGTTAATATCTCATGATTCTATCAGAATATGATGGGGGTCCCACCACCCGAGTGGAAATTGCTTCAGGCCCACCTGAAGCACGATCAAAACTTGATCAGGTTTTTGTAAGGTTTGACTGATTCGGTGATTCCTTATGAGAACCTGACCAAGTTCTGATCCAGCAAATCGGACCCGAAAAACTACAGGCGGGTTCAGATCAAGTTCTGATCAGGTAGGCACGATCTTACCCTGAGGTCGGCTGTCTGACCCCAATTTGATCAAATTCCGATTTGATGTCTTCGATCGGCATTTAAACGGGGTCAATTGAAGGAGAAAATGATCCGATTCAGATCCGGTACACCTGAAATTAATTTTAATACGTTTTTCGGATAGTTTAATTAACTATTATTATATTATTCAAATTAAGTTTTATCAACCATTATCAATAATTATTTTTAATCTTATTTTCAATCTATCTTTTTTCAATCAAATGTATAGAAGGGAGGGATGATGATGCCGTAAATACGTATTAGAGGAGTATCAAACAAATGATCTTGAGAAAAAAAATCACCAAATGTCTATTTATTTATTAGTGCTATTGTTATTATCATTATTATTATTCATTAATAAAATAAATGAAAATTTAATTGAGCATATTTTATCTCTGAAAATACACACGCACATCCACGAGATCAGGAATAATCGTAA